TGTGTAAAAGGAAAACAAAGAACAGGGAAAAGGTAAGAAGCAGAGCTTTTAGCTCACAGGATGCATCTTCATTAATTGCTTAAAGCTTAGAGAAGAGCTACAGTAGTGTATGTATATAAATGAGGAGAAGATAATTCTAGAAGCTGACAAAGCCGTTGATGGCAGAGAGTGGTGGAGCTGGGAATATGTGTGAGCCAATAAAATGTGGCCACGGAGATGCAGGAGCCGAATAAACTTTGTGTACTGCCGGTTCATCTGATTTAGGTTGTTAACAGGGCCCCTCAAATTGACTGTCCAGCGGCTGGACTTTTAATTTGTCGCGAAGAGTAGAAAATCTGGTTGCAGATAGGGCTTTGGTAAAGATGTCTGCAGGTTGATCGACGGAGCTAATATGGAATACTTCTATCTCCTTGCGCTTGATATGATCGCTGATAAAATGGTAGTCGATCTCTATGTGCTTGGTCCGAGCATGAAATACCGGGTTGTTGGCGAGCGCAAGAGCGGAGATGTTGTCGCAATGAATCGGTGTGGGCTGAGCTTGAGGAATGAGGAAATCTGCTGTTAGGCGATGAAGCCAAATGACGTCGGAGGTAGCAGAGGAGAGGGATCTGTACTCTGCTTCGGTAGATGACTTTGCCACTGTAACTTGCTTTTTCACATGCCATGAAATGAGGTTAGGACCAAGGAATGTGCAGAACCCGGTAACTGATTTTCGATCGATAGTATCCGCTGCCCAATCAGCATCTGTGTAAGTATGAAGGCAAAGGTCACCTTTACGAATTGGTAAGCCATAATGAATCGTCCCTTTTATGTAGCGAAGAAGACGTTTGAGGAGCTGAAAATGATAGGTGGAGGGATTATGCATATGTTGGCATATGCAATTTGTTGCAAAGGCGATGTCGGGGCGAGTGATGGTGAGGTATTGGAGAGAACCAGCTAGACGACGGTAAAGGGTGGGATCGGTATATGGTGTGGCGAGGTCAGGGGGCTTGCTGGTTTTAAGGGAGATCGGTGTAATGGCTGGTTTGCAGGAGGTAAAACCGGCTGATTCAAGTATGGCATGAGCATAATGAGATTGCTGTAGGAAGAGCCCATTATGTTGGTGATGTACCTGAATGCCGAGGAACATCGAGAGTGGTCCAAGTTGTTGGAGGGAGAAATGATTTTGAAGTTGTATGAGCAAGCGTTCGATCAGTGTAGGATTGTTCCCGGTGAGTAATATGTCGTCGACATATATCAGAAAATAAATCTGGGTGTCTTGTTGTAGTAATGTCAGCAATGATGGATCAGACCTGCTAAATGAGAAGCCAAAATTTGTTAAAAAAGATGTGAGCTTTTGAAACCATTGGCGTGAGGACTGTTTGAGGCCATAGATGGCCTTATGTAAACGGCAAACATGTTGAGGATGTTGCGGGTCTATGAATCCTTGTGGCTGCTGCATGTATACTTCTTCTTGAAGATCACCATGGAGAAATGCGTTAGCAACGTCAAATTGGATGATCTTCCAATTGTGGTGGAGAGCGACGGATAGGAAGACACTGATTGTAGGGAGCTTGGCCACCGGGCTGAATGTGTCTTTGTAATTGATACCAAATTGTTGTGAATAACCCTGTGCAACGAGTCTAGCCTTGTGACGGGCGATGGTGCCGTCGGGATGTAGTTTTAACTTGTAGGTCCAGCGACAACCGAGTATAGGCGTATTGGGAGGTGGTTTAGTGAGAGACCAGGTGCCTTGTTTCTGAAGAGCGAGAAATTCAGAGGACATAGCATTACGCCAGGGAAGGAGTTTAGATGCTTGGTTATATGTAGAGGGAGTGATGAGTGGGTTAGTATGAGCGAGGAGGTCGAAGATGGGTTTGGGACGAAGATTACCCGTGCGGGCACGGGTGAGCATGGGGTGAATATTAGTGGGAGGATTTGGAGGGGGGAATTGTAAGGATGTGGAGGGTGGTTAGGATGATTCAGAGGTAGATGTGGATGTGTGAGGAATCGAAGAGATGGTCGGAGAATGTGTTATGTTGGGAGAAGGTGGGGGTAATGTGTCTGGAGGTTGTGAAGTAGGATGTAGAGTGGAAGGCGGGATTAGGAGAGGGGAGGGTGGTGAAGAAGTAGGGAAATTGCTGGAAGGTGTGGGGTGAAGTTCATGATAAAAGGAGGTTTCATGAAAGCGAACATGTCTAGAAATATGAATTTTGTGAGTGGAGGGATTATAACATCGAAATCCCTTGTGATGAGTGGAGTATCCGAGGAAGATGCAGGGATGAGATCAGGGGGATAGTTTGTTGGGAGAATGTGGTTGTAGCCAGGGAAAGCAGAGACAACCAAACACGCGCAGGTGTGTATAGGTGGGAGGGTGGCCATGTAATAGTGTGTAAGGTGAGTTGAAGTTGATGGATGAGGAAGGGAGGCGGTTGATTAGATAGTTGGAGGTTTGGAGTGCCTCGGCCCAGAATTGAGAAGGTAGGTGAGAAGCGTGAAGGAGGGTGCGAGTAGTGTCGAGAAGGTGACGATGTTTACGCTCAGCGGCGCCGTTTTGCTCGGGCGTATATGGACAGGATAATTGGCGAAGAATGCCATTGCCGTGGAGGTATTGGTTGAAGGCGTGACTGGTATATTCGCCGCCGCCGTCGGAGCGTAGATGTTTAATTCGGGCGTTAAACACAGTTTTTACCATGGAATGGAATTGTTTAAATTTGGAAAAAGCTTCATCCTTGGTATGTAGGAGGAACAACCAGCAAAAACGCGAATGATCATCAATAAAAATTATGTAATATCTATAACCATTGAGAGATGGCACTGGTGATGGACCCCAAACATCACTATGTATTAAGGTAAATGGTTCGGTTACATGATTAGAGAAAGTAGAGAATGGTAACTTGTGGCTCTTGGCCACTTTACATGATTGACATAGAGAAATAGTAGATGCATTACATAAAAAGGAAAGTTGCTTAGATAAAATAGATAGGGTGCGCGGATGGGGATGTCCAAGTCGGGCGTGCCAGGTGGAAGCAGAAATGGTTGAAGTGTGGAGAGCAGACGGGTTCTTGGATGTGCCTGTATGGATTGAGTAGAGTCCGTCACGGATTGTTCCACGGAACAGAGTTTTGTTGTCCTGTGAATCGTGGATGGAGAAGCCGCCGGAGTCAAAAGAAATGTAACAATTGTTGTCGGATGTTAGTTTGGAAATGGAGATGAGATTATGAGATAGAGAAGGGACATGAAGAAGGTTGTGGAGAAGGAGCTTACGTGTTGTTTCGGGTAGGGGAAGGATACCTTGGCCGCTATTTTGGATGGGGAGTGAAGAACCGTTGGCTATGGATACAGATTCTGCGCCAGTATACGGTGTCGCTGGTTGCAGGTTGTGGATGTCACTCGTCAGATGGCTAGAGGCGCCTGAATCCATTACCCATTCTGTGGGGTATGGATTGGAGATGAAAGCCCGTGGACTTGGTGTAGTCGGCGGCGGCGCATATTGTTGAGTGTTGCACCTATGCCAGCATGAAAGTGCTGTATGCCCAATTTTACCACATATTTGACATTGCGGCCTTGTTGTTGATGGGGCTGGTGGCGTTCCAGCAGGTGGTCTGGAAGATAGGTGTTTCGGATTGAAGGATGATCCACGGCCGCGACTTAGTTTCCCTGTTTTGTCACGGGAGACGGTTGTGCGATTGACATAAAGAGCCTGGGAATCCGACTGAGGAGTAGTATCACATTGTAGTTCATTCTGGATGTGTATCTCTTCGCTGCAAAGCAGCGAGTATAGACTCTCCAGGTTGAGAGAATGCGGGGAAGTTCGGATAGCTGCCTTGAGAGGGTTGTAGGTTGGCGGTAAACCATTTAAAATGAAGATTATGATATCTTCTGAGTCCACATTTGAGCCAGCAGCTACAATATTATCAATGATGGTTTTTATCTGGGTGAGATATTGGGCGATGGTCTGATTTCCCATCTTCACATTGTGAAGCTCATGTTTAAGCTGGATCACCCTGGATCTATTTGTTGGTTGCAGCCTGATTTTGAGTGTTGTCCAGATTTCACTCGAAGTGGACAGATGAATGATGTATGGCAGCACCGATGGTGAAATGGTTGAGATTAGTGCTGAGACCAGATTTTGGTCTATAAGCTTCCAGAGGCGGCAGTCGGCAGTCTGCTCCGTCGGGCAAGTCGTTTTTCCGGTGAGATATCCGTCGAATCCATTTGCAGAGAATGACTTGAAAATTTGAAGTCGCCATATCGCGTAGTTGTCACTGGTGAGCTGGACGTTGACAATGGACTTTAGATTTGACATAAGGAATTTTAATGGCGTCGGGACGGTGAAATCTGCCATGGTTGCAGATAAAGATGACGTCGCCGTACTGCCGGAGGATGATCCTTGTTCTCCCATTTGAAGAGAGGTTGGTATGCGTTAGCGTTGAAGCTCTGATACCATAAAAGCACCTGCAGAATATGCTTGCATAAAAGAAAAACAGAGAACAGAGAAAAGGTAAGAAGCAGAGCTTTTAGCTCACAGAATGCATCGTCATTAACTGCTTAGAAAGCTCGAAGAAGAGCTACAGTGGTATATGCATATAAAGGAGGAGAAGATAATTCTAGAAGCTGACAAAGCCGTTGATTGCAGAGAATGGTGGAGCAGTGAATATGTGTAGGCCAATGGAATGTGGCCACGACGATGCTGGAGTCGAATAAACTTGGTGTACTGCAGGTACAGCTGATTTAGGTTGTTAACAAGAACTTCCTAATTAACGCACGTCATAAAACAGCAAACAGAAGTACATAACAAATAAATAAATAAATAAAGATTGATTTTTAAAAATATATAATTAAAGCAGAAATTTATATGAAGTGTTATACTCATCGACTAAGAAAGATTCCAATAGGCCGACATGTCAGGCTTTCTTCCCTTTCCACCTTTCAAAAATTTTCCCCTGCTAAGCAAGAACAATTAGTCCAGTGCAGATTAAAAGGGGAGAACCCATGAGGTTTCCAGGAAGGAGCTCTCACTCTTCCCTCCCCCTCCATTCCCTTGCAGATTTGCATTAGCCAAGAAACCATTTAAAACCAAATCATAAGTTCACTGTTCAACCACGCCTATATCATATATATTATCTGCTTCGTTTCATCAGCCAAGAACTAATGGCAAAGGAGGAATGCGAGTTAGAATTCGAGGACTTCCTTCCATCAATGGCGGAGCGGCTCGGCGCCACCGGCCTCATCGAGGAGCTCTGTAAAGGATTCCGGCTTCTGATGGACGCAGAGAAGGGTGTGATCACGCTGGAGAGCTTGAAACAGAACGCTGCTGGAATGCTTGGGCTGACAGAGCTTGGGGAAGAAGAAGCCGTGGAGATGTTGAGAGAAGGTGATTTGGATGGAGATGGAGCGTTAGATCAGATGGAGTTCTGCATACTAATGTTTCGGCTAAGTCCTGAGCTGATGGAGGGGTCAAGTTGGATGCTGGAGGAGGTGATGGGTAAGGAGATGGTCGGATTATTGCTTGATATAACTAATAAGAAAATGTGATGATTAGTTATTTTCATGGCGAGCAAGTCACAGTAATCCACTCTTTGAATAGCTGAAGGTTGAGAATAAATCTTCATTCTGAGTTGAGTGATAATATGATATCTTTTTGAGAAAAAAAAAATTCTATTATGCTGAATGTTTTATTTTTTATTTAGATGGAGTTTTTTTATTAAATAATTGTGATTATGTCCATTTATTTATTTATTTTTTAAAATAATCTGATAATGGAAATTAATACAATCCAATCATACAAAATGAGAAAGTGAGATGTAGAATATTAATGTTTGGATGTAGTACATCGACGAGATATGGAATCCACCTGACCTTGTCAATATAATTAAGCTTTATTCATAATTGGTTAATGATTTTTATTATGAAGATAATTATTGAAAATTGTTTTTTTTATCAATTTCTTGTGCTTTTTGCACTTCATTAATTTTTTAGTCATTCACCTCCAAATATTTCTCTAAGCACAGAGAAATAATTAACAAAAAATGAGAAAATATTTGATAAGATACAAAGTTATTGAGCAATTTTCACATTTAGCAGTGCTTAAATATGAGCTAAAATTTTACATATTTATTTCGAGATCATCCGAATTCTTTTAATTTTAAATTTCTAGACAAGATAATCATGGGTTTAAATCAAATAACAAGAATGATAATTGAAGATTTTTTTTTTTTGATATATTAAGTGCTAGAAAGTTTGTCTGAGTAGAGAGCGTGTTTTATATCTTAGTTTTGAATAAAAATTTAGCATATATAGATAAAAAGTCTTTAGACAAATTTATGTGAAAAACTTAGGAAATGAAAAAAAATCACAGGATTAACTAGTTGTAACAATTCATTATAAAATAAGAAATACGAGGATCCTTCCATCCTTATAATTAAAGAGAATAAGATTATTTAAAAATAAATGTTTGATTTTTTTTATAAGGGTTATATAAATTGGATGTCTACATATGTTTATATGTTGGTAGAAGTATGACAATGATAGTGGCAATTGCTAGTGATGATCATCGACAATGATAGTGAAAAATACAAGAGAGATTTTTAGATCTTTCAGCTCTTAACCTTCCCTCTTTTTAGATAATGGAGCCCTATTTATAAGATTTTTGAAAATTTCCTTTTGGTAAATTTGGCTAGAATCCAATGCACTATGTCATACAATCAATAGCAAACCCCTTAATGATTGGTCTCTTATCAAACATTTGAATGCATGTCATAATGATATCAAAATCAAGTGTAGGCTCGTTAGATTCTTCTCGTTATGCTGGTTAATTTAAATATAAGAATGCAGTAATTGGAGGTTGTTCGATCCACCAATTTATGTTCATAAATTTCTAAACATAGTTTAAGTGATTGATTTGAGCTCAAGTTTTAGTAAACTTTTATATGAAATGACAAATGCCTTCAAGGCTCAACATCAACAAATAATGATTATTTAATGTGCCCCATTTATAAATTTCAATATTTTTTAATATAAAATGTTCTTAAAAAAATGTCGCAAAGGCAGATCCGAGGTGTGGCGAGGTGAGCAATTGTCCACCCTAAAAAAAATTATATTTATAAAGAGGGCAATTTTGGAAATTTGGGCATTCAATATTGTTTGGATTTATTGGGAAATCTTGAGGATCCTTCTTACTTCTACTTAGAGGGATAGAGAAGGGGAGGGGGAGGGAGAAGCTCAAGAGCTACTATTGGACCAAGCAAAAAATGAAAAGAAATTTATTGATTTTGGCCTCTTTCTCCTTGCTACAACGACAACCCTATTTATAAGCTAAAACCATGATAAAATGCACCTAAGAAACAAACTAACTAAAATGAGATCAATTTCTAACAATCCTCACCTTGATCCGATTTTACAAAGATAAGAAAATATACCTGCTGCCTATAATGAATAACCATGCCAATCTTCCATGCCATTTCCCACCTCTCCTAGCCTCCACCTGTTATTAAAAAAGAATAGCACAATAAAAGGGTGCAACCTAACGGTTACCAGCATCTCCTTCGCCTATTTCCTCAAGAACTACCCCGCTAGCTTCTTAAGTCTTTTACTGTAATATCAGTTTTTGCTCCAGGTTCGTCCGGACGAAGTCGGATCGTCCGGGACGATCGGTACAGGTTGTGCAGAGAAAATCATGTTTGGCTGTTCGTCTCCGCTACTCGAAATCACAGAGTCCAAGAAAGGCCTTGCCTGTCTGTGCCTGTGTAACCTCCGGCCTATGCACCTAAGCCCCGACTCCCTAGTGCAAACTCTGGACGTGAACATCCCCCGACTCGCACGCACGAACTCTCGCTTCACTTGCCCTGTGTTCTCACACATGCAGCTTGCACCCCGGCCCATCATAACCCTGCACGTGAATTAACACCGTGTTCCCATACATGTAGTATTTTATTGTTTTGGACTCTTTCTCCTTGCTACAATGACATCCTTATCTATAAACTAAAATCGGACCAATTTCTAACAAATATGTATGGAAAATTTTATGATTTGAAGACAATTAGTACTTTGATTTTAACTTTACCAATTATTATTATTACATTAGATTGAGCATTTTGTAATAAGAATTGTCAAATAACAATTGCATTGTAGGATGAGTGATGAGTGGATCAATGATTGTCTAGTACCTTACATTGAAAAATTAATGTTTACTTTGATTCCCAATGAATATGTAATACGTACAACATTATAAAAAAATGTAAAATAAGGTTGATAAATTTGTAAGGATTGCTCGATTCATCAATTATAATGAAATGCAAGATTTTGCTTTGAATTATATATTTTTATTTTATTTTTTTAACATTAATTTATTTTTATGATAAGTTTGCCCACTCTTAAACGAGAAGCTAGTTTCACCCGTGCTTACATGCCATCAACTAATTATCAAAGGTGCATTTTGGGAATTGGATTTATTAGTCTATTGCCCAAGTGATTAGGCATTGCATTTTTGGGTACAAGTGTTTTTGACTATATGTGTACAAGAATATTAAATATCATCTCAAATGTAGAAACTTTTGCAAACGGTGCTCGCACAAGGGATAATGTAATTGAGAAAGGAAAAGATATAACCAGTACGTAAGATTAAAAAAAATATATAAATAAATAAATAAGCACATGAGATCATGCATGTGATTTGATGGAGTTTACATACAGTGAAGATTAAATAAAGATAAATATTCACTAATCCAAAGATAATTATATGATATGATTATTTTTAAATCTCAAACTATGATACTTTTTTAAATTTGATAATAAATTAATTGATATAAAAACGCCAAATCTGTCAGAAAATAATTCAAAGATTTAAAAAGATTTTAATCTGAGAATAATTAACTCAAAACATCTCAAGATAAAATATGTAAAATGTATTATTTGTATCTTATAATTTTAGGTAATATAGAAAAAATAAAAAAGCATTTGGCAAAAGAATAATGCTTTCTTTATTATACATATGTGTTTGCCCAAATAGCTATGCCTATCAAAGAAAAATTATAAATTATCAAAAAACATTAAATAAAATCAAATATTAGTAACTTAGCTCACCTAATAGTGTTCCAATCTATTTAAATTAATGCTAAGCAATCCTATGCCGACATCATACTACACTATATGTAGAATATATATTTGAGGGCTATCAATTATATTTAGAACATCAACAAAATATTATCAAATTTTTATCTCATTTCGTGAATCTTTTTTCCCTATTTTGCCTTATTAAGAGTCGAATACTAATTTAAATCTAGTAAATAAAAATCATTTCTTATACTATTAACCAAATTTTTTTAGGTCTACCTCTACCTTAATTTCTTAGCATAGGCTATCAATTAGATTTGAAATTTAAAATTATTCAATTTTTATTCAACTCAAAATCAAATTGAGTATGCTAGCTCCTACTTGATACGCTACCAAAAATCGCCTTGATCATGCACACATCTCAAAGTATATATGAATTGATAACTTTCATATTTAAATTCGAGACCATGCAGCCAACTACAATTTCATCAAAATTATAGTCAAATTAAACATCTCAATAAGACAAACCCAAAGACACAAAAATTAGTCCAATCCGAGCACAAATGGGTCCAAATCAAGAGACTGAAAAATATTTGGAAGGACCAAAGCTTTAATTGGATGACCAATTGATCTCTAAACATGGCATTCTTATAGTCAAATGAACTGCTCGACAAAAAAATCCAATGAGCCCAAGATCGCTTTATCCTGACATTTTTAAGGCACTTGAATGTCGAACAAACACTCCTTGATTGAGGGAATCAATATAGGTTGTCCAATGGAGCACTCCAAATTTATCCTTGATCTACTTCATATTTACGGAGAATGCACTCTCAAAATTTATAAATAGATCCCCTCTTCCCACATCAAAAAGGGGACTTGGACTTTTGGAGAGTTAGGCCTAGAGCAAGAGACTCAAGAGAGCTCTGATGCTTAAAGCATCCCGGAGCTCCACCTCGTCACTGCTGTCGGCAAACCCTCGCCATCAAGCTGCCGTTGTTGGACCTCTACCCGACCATCCCATCGGACCTCTTTTTGACAGCTAGTGTTCGGCTTTGTCCGACCACTATAGCCCGCCGACTATAGCTCATTCGACCTCTGTTGCTCACAAGCTACGATCCCTCTGTATTATGTCGTTGATCGAATACACTGACTCCGACCACCATCACTCAACTACGATCCTTCTAAACACTGTCACTTGTCGACTATGGTTATTCCGACCATAATAGTCTGTCAACTCCGGTCCCTCAGACTATTTTTACCCACTACGGCCCTTCCGACCTCAGTCGCCCATCGACTATGGTCCCTCTAACCTCCATCGCCCATCGATTACGGTTCCTCTGACCTCTGTTGCCCACCGACCACAGTTCCTTTGACCATTGCCTGACTATGATCATTCTAACAAATGCTGCTCTCTTACTATGATCCTTATAACCATTGTTTCTTGTCCAATACGGTCATTCCAACTACTGTCGCTTGCATACTAGAGTTTCTCCGACCACTCTCACTAGGCAACTACAGTCCCTCCGACCATAGTCGTTCACCGACTATGGTCCCTTCGACCAACGTCGCCGAAAACTATGATCCCTCCAACCA